TAGAGCAGATTTAATGCCAATACTTTTCAGACTCATTAATGAAATTGAAAGGTAAGCAATACTCCCTAACTCATTGCTGGAGGCAAGTATTACCCTGGTAACAAAACCACAGAAAGAAAAAACCCAAAAGAAGAACTACAGACCAATCTCCCTAATGAACAGACATGTAAAAATCCTCAATAAGATACTAGCAAACAGAATTCAACAAATCATCAAGAAGATTATACACCATGACCAGGTGGAACTTATCCCAGGAATGCAAGGCCAATTCAACATATGCACGCTGTTATGGTTTATGTCTGCGTGTCCCCCCAAACCCTCATGCGACCATGGGGCAGGCTATTAGAGTTGAATGATTGTGGGTGTGAGAGCTACACCCGCCCTGGGGTGGATAGTTTGCATATGTAAGGGAGAGCAAAAGGGTGCTTGGGACATTCCTCCCCCATTCCGCCCTGGTGTGTGGTTGTGGCTTAGCTGTGTGCTGCCGCCCTGAGCTGTAGCCCTCTGCCACGTGCCCCTCTGTCTTATAATCTGGCAAGTACGGATTGAAACCTCCACAAACTGTAAGCAAAATAAACCTTTCCTTCCTTAATTTTGGGCATCAGATATTTTGTCCCAACAGTGAGAGAAAAGTAACCAAGACAGAATTTGGTACCAGAGGAATGGGGTCGTTGCTGTGACTATATCTGACCATGTGGTTCAAGAGCCTTTGGAAATGGCTTATGGGGAGTGTTTGGAAAGGTTTGGAGTTGTCTCCTGAAAGAGAAGCTCTAGAACGCCTTTGGCTGGTCTGTTTGGGAGATTCTGGTCAGAGCTCAGAAGACCAGAAGGCTAATAGAAATTCTGCCAGTAAAGACCGGGTTTGGGAGGTTTCTGTTGGGAAGAAGGACTGCACTGGTTGTTGGACTCCAGATGATGTGTGTTATGGCTTGGCAGAAAGTTTGTCTGTATTTTGCTCATGTCCAGAGACTTTGCCTAAGACTGAGATTAAGGGCGGCAGTGGACTGATTAATCTGGCAAAAGAAATTTCAAGGCAGTTGAACATTGGGGCAGTGGCATGGCTATTGTTGGGGGCTTTTAGCCAGATTTATATTGAGAATCAAGAACAAAGAGCCCAGCAGGATGATTTAAAATGTTGTGAGTTTGGCCGGAAAGGAAGCTCCAGTAAAGCTGTGGACTGCAAAGGTGAAGCTGAGGAGATCTCTCTTGCTGAGAAGGAACAGGAGAATAGAAAAGATGGCCTGAGGGCATCACAAGCAGCAAGTCTCCACCCTTTGCAGCCTCAAAAGGGCAAAGGTGAAAGACCTTGCTTTGAGAAAAGAGCTGCTGAGCGCCCTGTTCCAGAATGGCGGTGGAGGCCACACCAGGTTCCAGAAAGG